AAAATGGTTGGGCCTTTCTCTCCTCATCTTGTCCAGGCCCAGGAAGGCTGTGATGTTGGATAAGGTGACTGTTACCTATCTCCCTTCTCTAGGAGCAAATACTTTCAAAACTTCTTTTTGACTAATTTGGATTTTCACCTCCATTATCTAAATAACATATTGCTACCCCTTGATTCTTCTTTTTAGGTATTATCTATTGACTTCTCCTATGGATGATGTACATTTAGATATTTTTCCCAGAAATACCCCAACCACTCTCTCCCATTGCTCCACTGATACCTTAATTTTTAGTAAATAACCATTTAGTGACTGTATAATTTTGCAATATTTATCATTAATTTAGTCCCAGACTATTTGCTTGATGTCAGATGTATCAACATTTTTTTAAAATTACTTCAGCCATCATTGGGCGATTTCACCTAGTATATTCTGATCTTCAGTTTAGGCTGGCTGCTTGATGTAGCTGTCCTTCATGCAACCTGTATTCTATGATGGATCCTCTGCTTCCTATATCCATCCCATGTAATCCTTTGTCTTGTATACTTATTTTGTTTGGGCACAGTCTCCACTGAGTGGCAAGTTTTGAGATAATAGTTTTCATGTAAATGTCTTTCCTGTTAGTTTGGGTGTAGAATTTAAAGTTGAAATGTTTTTCTTCAGAATTATGGCGGTCTTCTTAGTGTCTTATAAGAAATCTGAAGTCATTCTTATTTTTAACACTTGGCAATTCACTTTTTCCTCCCCTATGGAAGCTTCTACAACCTTTTTGTTTGAAGGTTACAGTCTTTTCTTATTGTATCCAGTGTTCTGAAATATCACAGTGATGTGAAGTGACTTAACTATAAGTCTATAGCATCTACTTTTCTGTACATTTCATGGTTTCTTACAGATTGGTATCCCTCAGAAAGTTTCTGGTACTTTTTCTATAATTTCCTTGCCTCTATGTTTTTGGTTCTGGAACTGCAATTAGACATTGTACTCATGAACTGTTTCTTTTCTCCCATTTTTCAACTTTTTCAGTTTTGATTTTTCATATCTTTGAGATTTTCACTTTTGCTATCATCTTTTAAATTTCCAGTACCATTTTTTATGGCGTTGTATTTTTGTCTTTATGGATAATTAAATTTTTGTTTTGAAATTTACTTCTCCCTAGTTACTCTATTTTCTCATAAGTTACTCTTTCTGTTAGCATGTTTTGGCTTCTTTCATGTTTAGAGGCTTTCCTCAGCTATCTTGTGATCCTTGATTATATGTTCAAATTCATGTAAAGGGCATTAGAAAGCTATTTACAGCCTCTGAACTTGACTGGAGCTTTCTAGCTATTAATGGTTCTCACTATGGAAAGATTTGCTGGAAATTTTTTTGGGGAAAAAGAAATGTGTCTGTTTTTTCAGTTTTGGAAGCCTTTATCTTGGCCTAATTATAGTCCAATGAAAAGGATTTTCCAGCCTCCTGCCTCTAAGTCATTGGTTCTTGGCTGTAACATTATGACCCCCAGGGGACATTTGGCAGTGTCTAGAGACAGATTTGATTATCAGAAGTGGTTGCTACTGAAGACTGGTGGGTAGAAGCTGCAGGTGCTGTTGAACATCCCCAATACACAGGACATTCACCTATAACAAAGAAATAGTTCAAGAATCTCAGTAGCACTAATTATGATAAACCCTGATCCAGGATAAAAGCCTGATGATCAGTGCTCTGAGAACCCAGTGAAAACAGAGATAATGAGGTGAAGATTATAAACTAGGAGGCAGATGAAATCTTGAATTAACTGTTGTTCCCCATCCTTTATTTCAATTTTATTCCCCCTTTTCATCTCAAATTCTGCTATAGGTGCCCATCTTAAAACAAGCATGTGTTAGAGTTGCTAGTTTTTCCTAATTTCTTTTTCCCCTGATCTCACATTCTTGTCCCCAATCAATCCCCCTTTTTGCCTCCCAGTAAAAACACAAAATCTTAGTTTATTACTGCTTCCTTGATTAATGTGGAAATTGAGATTATTATGAAGGTTTGACCAAAAGGTTGAGGTCATACTTGGCAAAATTCAAGTTCTAAGTGTATTAGCTGTTAGCTTTTCTTTTGGTACACATACTCACATTTTCACTTTCCCCCATGTGCTTTCATCTTCCCACCATTTATAAAAACTTATACATTTTTTATATGGTTGACTCTGACATGTCAAGCTATAATGCTCTCTTAAAATAATCACTTGTGGTTTATTTAGGTCTCAAGTCAACTTACTTTACAATGAGTGAATAAAAAAAAGCTAGGTTGCAACTAATTGCCATTAGATTTCAGTTGTTTGTATCATGTCCAGTGTGTTATAGCACCACTCTAATGCAATGTCTGGTGGGCATTATGTGTTTAAATATTTAAAACTGTTGAAACCAGTTTTATACATGTGACTTATGTTTATAAGTTAAAATGAAATTTTTAGTGTTACCACACTGATTATTTATATGGTCAAATCATAAACATCATCTGATTTAAATGTGCAAGATAATTTCTTAAGGTTATAAAATAGGTAATATACATTTAGGGTAAAAGTGATAAAAAATGAAAACCTATATTCCCTACACCTGGAAATAATTCTGTTAAGGTGTTGGTATATTTAATTTTAGTTTTTTAAACCTACATTTCTGTATGTTTATTAAAAGAGCTGAATCATAGGGTTTCATAGGTTTTAGGGTTTATCGTGTGTGCTTTTAAAGAATTAATATGTAGTTAACATCTTTCCATGATACTATGTTTATTTGCTTTACATGGTAGAAATCTGCCAGCCAACCCTCTGGGAATTAGTCTCCTAAACAGTGCCATGATCAGAGAAAATAAAATATTGAAAATTTTCTTACTTTCATATGTATATTCTTGAAACATCTGATCTCTTTAAAAACAACAGATGAGTTAGTATTAAAGTATTTTTAAAGTAGCTAACATATCCCTTGAATTACTGTCCATTGTGTTGCAAACATTCCTATAGGGACACAGTCTGCTAAAGCAGATTTTGCCCATACATTTTATTTTCCAGAGATTTTTATTTCTATTATCTAAGTAACATATTGCTACCCCTTGATTTTTTTATAGGTTGTAGATCTTACTGATGTAAAACTGACTAACTTTTGTGCTTACATTTCATTTTCACAAATCTTCTATAAGCTTGTGTTCCCACCTGGTTTTTTCACAAATTATTAAAAAGAGTAAAGCGTATTTGGGTTTAGATTTCTGCACGTATTTTGGGATCACCATAGTTGACTGCAGGGAAAAGTAACAATTGTGACTTTGAACCTTCATTTCTCCTTTCCCTGCTTTTTTCGCATTAACACTTTTTTTTTTTAGAGCAGTTTTAGGTATCCAGAAAATTGAGTGGACATTACAACAAATTCCCTTACATCTCAGCTGGATCACCTGCCTTTATCATTAACCCAGGTTCCCTACTATTAAGGTCTTGCTTTAGTGTGTGGTATGTTTATTACAATTGATGAATGAGTATTGATGCATTGTTGTTAAAGTCCATAGTTTACATTGTTTCACCCTTTGAGCTATATACATTATGGGTTTTGCCAAATGTGTAATGACATGTATCTACCACGGAAGTATCATACATAATAGTTTAACTGCCCTGAAAGTAACCTATGCTCTTATCCTCCGTCCCTCCTTTGAAATCTTGGCAAACACTAACCTTTAGCTCCACAATTTTGTCTTTTGCAAACTCTGATATACAGTTGACTTTTGAACAACATAAGGCTAGGGGCACTGACCCCCTCCCTACAAAGTAAAAAATCTGCATATAGCACTGGATTCCCCAAAAACTTGACTACTAATAGCCTTTTGTTGACTGGAAGCCTTACCAGTAACAAACAATAAAGACATTTTGTATATTACATGTACATATCATATACTTTTTCTTACAGTAAAGTAAGCTAGAGAATAGGCATATTTTTTTCAAGTTGTTGCAAATTTCCAAAAGCTTTTCAAATATATTTATTGAAAAGTATCTTTGTATAAATGGATCCCTGCAGTTCAAACCCATGTTCTTCAAGGATCAACTGTATTTGGAATCATACTGTGTGTACCCTTTTTAGAATGGCTGTTTACCCTTAGCAATGTACATCTAAGTTTCCTTCATTTCTTTTTATGGCTTAATAGCTCATTTCTTTTTAGTTCTGTATAATATTTCATCTTACAGATGGAGCACAGTTTTTCCATTGACTTACTAAGGACACCTTGGTTGCTTCCAAGTTTTGGCAGTTACGAATAAAGTTAAAAACATTCAGTTACGGGTCTTTGTGTGGACATAGTCTTCAGTTCATTTGGGTAAATATCAAAGTGCATAATTGAAAGATTGTGTGAGAAAAGTGTATTTAGTTTTGGAAGAAACTGCCCAACTATCTTCTACAGTGGATGTACTATTTTGCATTCTATTCAGCAGTAAATCAGAGTCCTTACTATTTCCCATCTTTACCAGCATTTGTTGTTGTCATTGTTTGAGATTTAGTCATTCTAATATATGTGGAGTGATACATAATCTTAATAATGCAGTTCCCTAGTGACATATATTGGGCATCTTTTCACATGCTTATTTGGCACTGATATACCTTATTTAGTGAGGTGTCCAGATTTTTTCTCCATGTTTTAACTAGTTGCTTATTTTCTTATTGTTGACTTATTTCAGAATACTTTGTATATTTTAGATCCCAGTCTTATCAAATACAAATACATGTTTTGCAGGCATTTTTTCTCAGTCTGTAGCTTGTCTTCATTCTCTAACAGTGTCTTTTGGAAAGTAGGAATTTTCAAAGTCCAGTTTATCAATTTTTTAATCCATGGATTATGGTATTGGTGTTTTATCTAAAAGCTCATTGCCAAACCAAAAGGTGCCTAGATTTTTCCTGTTTTCCTTTTCAGATCTTATAGTTTTGCTTTTTATGTATAGATCTGTAATCCATTTTGAGTTAATTTTTGTAAAAGGTATCAGGTCTCTTGTCTGAGTCGTTTTTTTTTTTTTTATGGAATGCTTCATGAATTTGCATGTTGTCCCTGAGCAGGGGCCATGCTAATCTCTGTATCGTTCCAATTTGTTTTTTTTTTTAGTATATGTGCTGCCGAAGCAAGCACTGTCTGAGTCATTTTTTTAGCCTGCGCATGTCCAGTTCCTCCAGCACCATTTGTTAAGAAATGATGAAGGACTTTCTCTTCTGAATTGCCTTTGCTTCTTTGTCAGAGATCTTTGTATTTTTGTGGGTCTATATCTGGGCTTTCTATTCTGTTCATTGATTTCTTTCTCTACTCTTTAACCATTACCATGCTATATTTGTTAGTCTATCTTTATTATAGTAAGTCTTGAAATGGGATAGAATGTGACCTCCAATTTTGTTGTTGTTGAGTATTGTATTGCCTCTTCTTTGTCTTCTGCCTTTCCATATAAGTTTTAAAATCACTTTATCATGTACACAAAATAACTTTCTTTTGACTGGAATTGCATTGAATCTATCAAGATTAGAAGACCTGGCATCTTAACAATATCGAGCCTTTCTATCTATGTACGTGGAACATCTCTTAATTACTTAGATCCTCTTCTATTTTTTTAGTCAGAATCTTGTAGTTTTTTTCTTTTTTCTTTTTTATTAAGGTATGATTGATATACACTCTTAATGAAGGTTTCACATGAAAAAACAATGTGGTTACTACATTTACCCATATTATCAAGTCCCCACCCATACCCAAATGCAGTCCCTGTCCATCAGTGTAGTAAGATGCCACAGATTCACTATTGGCCTTCTCTGTGCTACACTGTTTTCCCCATGACCCCCACACCATGTGTACTAAACATAATACCCCTCAGTCCCCTTCTCCCTCCCTCCCCACCTGCCCTCCCACACCCCAGCCCTTTGGTAACCATTAGTTCATTCTCGGAATCTGTGAGTCTGCTGCTATTTTGTTCCTTCAGTTTTGCTTCATTGTTATACTCCATAAATAAGGGAAATCATTTGGCATTTGTCTTTCTCCACCTGGCTCATTTCAGTGAGCATAATGTCATCCAGCTCCATCCATGTTGTTGCAAATGGTAAGATTTGTTTGTTTCTTATGGCTGAATAGTATTCCATTGTGTATATGTACCACATCTTCTTTATCCATTCATCTACTGATGGACACTTAGGTTGCTTCCATATCTTGGCTATTGTAAAAAGTGCTGCGATAAACATAGGGGTGCATATGTCTTTTTGAATCTGAGAAGTTGTATTCTTTAGGTAAATTCCAAGGAGTGGGATTCCCAGGTCAAATGGTATTTCTGTTTTTAGTTTTTTGAGGAACCTCCATCTTGCTTTCCACAATGGTGGAACTAGCTTACATTCCCACCAGCAGTATAGGAGGGTTCCCCTTTCTCTGCATCCTCGCCAGCATTTGTTGTTCTTAGTCTTTTCAATGCTCGCCATCCTTACTGGTGTGAGGTGATATCTCGTGGTTTTAATTTGCATTTCCCTGATGATTAGTGATGTGGAGCATCTTTTCATGTGTCTGTTGGCCATCTGAATTTCTTCTTTGGAGAACTGTCTATTCATATCCTCTGCCCATTTGTTAATCGGGTTATTTGCATTTTTGTGTGTTGAGGTGTGTAAGTTTACATATTTTGGATGTTAACCCCTTGTCAGATATGTCATTTACAAATATATTCTCCCATACTGTAGGATGCCTTTTTATTCTGTTGATGGTGTCCTTTGTGTACAGAAACTTTTTAGTTTGAAGTAGTCCCATAAGTTCATTTTTGCTTTTGTTTACCTTGCTTGAGGGGATGCATTCAGGAAGAAGTTGCTCATGCTTATATTCAGCAGATGTTTGCCTATGTTGTCTTCTAAGACTTTTATGGTTTCATGACTTACATTCAAGTCTTTAATTCATTTTGAGTTTATTTTTGTGCATGCAGTTAAACAATAATCTAGTTTCATTCTCTTGCATATAGCTTTCCAGTTTTGCCAACACCAGTTGCTGAAGAGGCTGTCATTTCCGCATTGTATATCCATGGCTCCTTTATCATATATTAATTGGCCATATATGGTTGGGTTTATATCAGGGCTCTCTAGTGTGTTCCATTGATCTATGGGTCTGTTCTTGTGCCAGTACCAAATTGTCTTGATTATTGTGGCTTTGTAGTAGAGCTTGAAGTTGAGGAGCATAATGCCCCCAGGTTTATTTTTCCTTCTCAGAATTGCTTTGGCTATTCGAGATCTTTTGTGGTTCCATATGAATTTTAGAATGATTTACTCTAGTTCGTTGAAGAATGCTATTGGTATTTTGATTGGAATTGCATTGAATCTATAGATTGCTTTAGGCAGGATGGCCATTTTGACAATATTAATTCTTCATATGCATGAGCATGGGATGAGTTTCCATTTATTGGTATCTTCTTTAATTTCTCTTAAGAGTGTGTGATTTTCAGAGTATAGGTCTTTCATTTCCTTGGTTAGGTTTATTCCTAGGTATTATTCTTTTTGATGCAACTGTGAATGTAATTGTTTTCCTGATTTCTCTCTCTGCTAGTTCATTGTTAGTGTATAGGAATGCCACAGATTTCTATGTATTAATTTTGTATCCTGCAACGTTGCTAAATTGAGATATTAGATCTAGTAGTTTTGGAGTGGATTCTTTAGGGTTTTCTGTGTACAATATCATGTCATCTGCAAACAGGGACAGTTTAAATTCTTCCTTGCCAATCTGGATGCCTTTTGTTTATTTGTGTTGTCTGATTGCTGTGGCTAGGATCTCCAGTACTATGTTGAATAGAAGTGGGGAAAGTGGGCATCCTTGTCTTGTTCCCAGTCTTAAAGGAAAAGCTTTTAGCTTTTCGCTGTTAAGTATGATGTTGGCTGTGAGTTTGGCATATATGGCCTTTATTATGTTGAGATACTTATCCTCTATACCCATTTGTTGAGAGTTTTTATCATGAATGAATGTTGAATTTTGTCAAATGCTTTTTCAGCATCTATGGAGATGATCATGTGGTTTTTGTCCTTTTTGTGGATGATGTTGATTGATTTTCGAATGTTGTACCATTCTAGCATCCTTGGAATAAATCCTTCTTGATCATGATGGATGATCTTTTTCATGTATTTAGAATTCGGTTTACTAATTTTTTTTGAGTATTTTTGCATCTATGTTCATCAGGGATATTGGTCTGTAATTTTCTTTTTTTGTGTTGTCTTTGCCTGGTTTTGGTATTAGAGTGATGCTGGCCCCATAAAATGAGTTTGGAAGTATTCCCTCTTCTGCTCTTTAGAAAGCTTTACAGAGAATGGGTATTAGGTCTTCACTAAATGTTTGATATAATTGAGTGGTGAAGCCATCTTGTCCAGATATTTTGCTCTTAGGTAGGTTTTTGATTACCAGTTCAATTTTATTCCTGGTAATTGGTCTGTTCAGATTTTCTGTTTCTTACTTGGTCAGCCTTGGAAGGTTGTATTTTTCTAGAAAGTTATGTTTCTTCTAGGTTATCCAGTTTGTTAGCATATAAGTTTTCTTAGTATTCTCTCATAATTCTTTGTATTTCTGTGGTGTCTGTAGTGATTTTTCCTTTCTCATTTCTGATTCTATTTCTGTGTGTAGACTCTCTTTTTTTCTTGATAAGTCTGGCTAAGGGTTTATCTATTTTATTTTCTCAGAGAACCAGCTCTTGTTTTCATTGATTCTTTCTGTTGTTTTATTCTTCTCAATTTTATTTATGTCTGCTCTAATCTTTATTATGTCCCTCTTCCTACTGACTTTGGGCCTCATTTGTTCTTCTTTTTCTAGTTTCATTAATTGTGAGTTTAGACTGCTTATATTGGATTGTTCTTCTTCCCTCCGGTAGGCCTGTATTGCAGTATACTTTCCTCTGAGCACGGCCTTGGCTGCATTCCACAGATTTTGCAAGGTTGAATAATTATTGTCATTTGTCTCCATATATTGTTGATCTCTGTTTTTAGTAGGTCATTGATCCATTGGTTATTTAGGAGCATGTTGTGAAGCCTCCATGTGTTTGTGGGATTTTTCATTTTCTTTACGTAATTTATTTCGAGTTTCATACCTTTGTGCTCTGAGAAACTGGTTGGTACAATTTCAATCTTTTTGAATTTATTGAGGCTCTTTTTATGGCCTAGTATATGATCTATTCTTGAAAATGTTTCATGTGCACCTGAGAAGAATGTGCATTCTGCTGCTTTTGGGTGTAGAGTTCTATTGATGTCTGTTAGGTCCATCTGTTCTAATATGTTGTTCAGTGTCTCTGTATCCTTACTTATTTTCTGTCTGTTTGATCTGTCCTTCAAAGTGAGTGGACTGTTGAAGCCTCCTAGAATGAATGCATTGCATTCTATTTCCTCTTTTAATTCAGTTAGTATTTGTTTCACATATGTAGGTGCTCCTGTATTGGGAGCATGGATATTTATAATGGTTGTATCTTTTTGTTGGATTGACCCCTTTATCATTATGTAATATTCTTCTTTGTCTCTTGTGACTTTCTTTGTTTTGAAGTCTATTTTGGCTGATACAAGTACTGCAACTCCTGCTTTTTTCTCTCTATTAGTTGCATGAAATATGTTTTTCCATCCCTTCACTTTTAGTCTGTGTATGTCTTTGGGTTTAAAGTGAGTCTCTTGTAGGCAGCATATAGATGGGTCTTGTTTTTTTATCCATTCAGTGACTCTATGTCTTTTGATTGGTGCATTCATACCATTTACATTTAGGGTGATTATCGATAGGTATGTACTTATTGCTATTGCAGACTTTAGATTCATGGTTACCAAAGGTTCAAGGTTAACTTCGTTACTATCTAAGAGTCTAATTTAACTCATTTAATATGCTATTGCAAACATAATCTAAGGGTTCTTTTTCTTCTCCTTTTTCTCCCTCCTCCATTCTTTATATATTAGGTATCATATTCTATACTCTTTGTCTATCCCTTGATTGACTTTGGGGGTAGTTAATTTAATTTTGCATTTGTTTAGTAATTAGCTGTTCTGCTTTCTTTACTGTGGTTTAATGACATCTGTTGACAGCTATTATACCTTAGGAAGACTTCCATCTATAGCAGTCCCTCCAAAATACACTGTAGAGATAGTTTGTGGGAGGTAAATT